GGTATTTCATCACCTCCAGATGATACTCTTTATTTACTGTCTTTCCTTCTAGAAGAAATTCCTGTTGAATGGCACTATCAGAATTGAACAAAACAGTGAGAGTATGTTTATAGTAATTTTATTTAAATTTGTTATAGAAGTTTTGTGAATAAGCAATTTTATTATATCTAATTAGTTAATAGTTCTGGGAGTGAAGATCAGATGGAGATTTGGATAACATAACTGGCAATGTGCCTGCACGGTATGTGGGGTGATCTTTCCTTCCAGAATGTTCTAAATTAAATTTATTTGTTTCTAACTATTAAATAAATAACTTCACAAACTTCAAGAACTTCCACAAGCAGGTAATTTTAATGAAAGTTTGAGGTTGTTACTTGCCTGTAAAGCTAGTATATTAACAGCAATTCTAATTAAATGTAATGAGAGATGATGGCCCGATTGCCTACCTTTGGTCAAATTACTTAATAATTAATTAGCCTCAAATAGCCCAATAAAGGAATTGGGTTGTTTTGTTTGATATTAAATTGTAATTAAACAAAAGTGATTAACTCCATGTTTAAATTTATATAATATACATGCAAATGTCAAGGTTGCTTTATATATATATATATATATATATATAATCAAGTGAACAATTTAAGATTTCTAACTTAAAATTGTTTTTTACGAAATTATTTTTGCTGGATGTTTATATTGCATATCACCCCAAACAGTGACTTTGCTTTATTGGCTCACTTATTTATTTTCAAATAACTACTTGGACTCCTTTGCAAGACTGCTTGTCTAACTTAGTTGACATTTGAAAATGCTATATCAGAATTGTTTTATATTTCTTTGTCATTCTAATCAGTGATCAACTTTGTTGTTACTAACTACTTACATTGGAGTTACTTGCATATTTTACTTTTAAACTATAAACCTTGTAAAAATACTTTTTGATTATCCCACATGGAAAGAAACCAGCTTCATTGTTTCCTTGAATTGTAGAATTATTCTTGCAAATCCCTCTAACATTGGATTTGATTAGTATTGACTATGGGATGATTTCTTTATGAATAATAATATTTTAAAAAATCATGGCAAGAATTAGATTGATTTTTTTTAGAGGAAATAATAGATTAGTTTTTACTTATATTCCTTCATTCTAGATTGTAGCACTATCTCTACCAGTAATGCTGTGAAGAAAATTAAGGCACTTGTTCTCAGTTTGAAAGAAAATTTACATTGTTGACTATTGCAGATTTTTTTAAGCTGTATAAACAAAATAATTGTTGCATTCTACTTAAATTAACAAATGAGATTATAACAACAACCCACATGGTGTATCCCAACTTTGAAACCTTGATTTTGTAATAACATAGAACTGTTCAAAAGAAGGCCTTTACTTAGGGAAATTATATCAAAAGTATCAGGGTTGTCATCGTCATTAGTGTGGATAAGCTGACTTACAGGGGGATTAACAATTTCCCCTGTAAGTCAGCTTATCCACACTAATGACGATGACAATTGCCCCTAGGTTTTCCCTGGTCAGGATAACCTAGGGGCACTTGTGTATGTGAGTGGTGGTGTAGAAGGTAGAGAATACAAGTGCCTTTACAAAACCATTTATAGTAATAAAGGTTGCTCTTACATATAAAAATAAGTCGACCAGGATAAAGACAAAGGCTTTATCCTGGTCGTCTTGGATCAGTCCTCACAGCTTGTTTGTCAGACATCCCTGGGGCAGTGGTGATTTGTTACAGGTTCAATCCAGAAAGGTGACTGCACTTAGAGAAAGATGTTTAAGATGACAATTACCAACTCAATGACCTTGAACATCAGGATTTTATAAACTTTTTCATTTCTAATTCTTCTTTTGATTGGCTGGGCTTCCCTTTCCCCATTCCTCAATTGGTCTCCTCCCTATTGTCTCCAGGTGGAAATTGAGATCAGTTTGGGTCATGAGAAAGGTCTATCTGGGATGGTTTATCTGACATCATCCCTCAACTCTGGCCAGGATTGCTGATAGAACTAAGACATCTGCACTAATATTTTCACTTGTTTCCTTTTATGATATTCTAGAACGTTAATATCCTTTTTTTCTATGTCTTTTGTTTGTCAAACCTTCTCCTTTCTTGATCAAGTTCACTTCTAGTTATTGTATATGAGCGATGGTGTCAAAGTATGGCATTGCCAACTCGACACATGTAAACTCAACCTTGCAGAATCATTTGTTTCTGCATCATGTTCATTATTTATTACAAATTTTTATAAACCTTTTATTAGGTTTGAACTCAATCTGGGGCCTCACAGTACTATATGATTCTGCCTTTTTAGTTAATAAATTTTCTGTTATTGAGATCACTTGGTCTCATATTATTTTCTTAAATCATTTTTGGTTCACATTTCAATTAAACTTCAATATCACTCCTAAATATGACTTGCAAACAAATATAACATTGACTTAAGACATTTTCTTTCAGCTACTATATCTCCATGTACCCATTTTTTACTAAGAGTGATCAGGGCCGGATCATTGCATAGACAAATGAGACAAATTTAGAAGGGTTTTTAGAAGGGCCTGGTCAAACTGTCTATTTTCAAAGGATTTGTAAATATTGATAATATAGTTTACTTTTCTGTTGGACAACTGTATATGTATAATAAACAAATAAAGAAAAATATATTGCTTTTTATATGGTTATTGTGAATTCTAAAATCTAAAGAAAATGTGTTCTTATGTTTCTTCTTATTGAAAGTAATTTTTCCAATAATTTAGAATTTTTTATAGCGATAAGAATAATATTAACTACAAGAGGATGAGCCAGGCGTTGCCCGGGCAAAAAATAACAAAGGTTAAGATTATTAGATTATTTCGTACTTCTAATCTTCCTGTTACATTATATTATAGCCAGTTGAATGGCCCGGTGCAGTCATCGGGACGACATACTAAATAGTTAGCATGCATAGCAATGATAAATAATTAATTGCATAGCTGGCGCTTGATATGCCGACAGAGACTGCCCAGTTTTTCAGTAGCAGCAGCGGTGGTATAAACAATAAATTCATTTTATGTTCTTGAAACAGTGTCGGTGATTATTTTTGTCGTCATTTAGTTTTGTTTTATTTATTGTTTTATATTTTTTGTGTGCTCTTTTTCTTGTGGAGAGGGAGGGGGCCCAGTAAGAAGAAAATGTCCTGGATGTTGTGCCTCATCCACGGTCCCAAAGTGGGTTAATCCGGCCCTGGATGAGGCACAACCTCCTAGCACATAGTGGCCTGCTTCTCTAAGGTCATCTTTTCTCTATGTGCTGGTGCGGTATCGTAGTGGTATCGAATTTTGTCAATTTTTAGAGTGTATGAAGTTGTGCTAATTCTCTGGTGGTCAAACATGAATTATCGTCTATCAATTACAGGAGAACGTCATCATCAATGGCTTAATCGCTGCCTAAATGGGTTCGTCTTGAAGCGAGAAATCTCTATTGTTGAATTTCTTGAATCAATTATAGTAGGTCTCCTTTCGACTGTCTCCTTGCCAAATACCTTGCTGATGAGATCGTGAGCCTTCGTAACGTAATTGTCACTTTTGAAGTGATAGAGTAACAGCGCGCGAAGATGTTTTGCTAATGCATCTATTTTCAATAAAATATGTGATAAAATACCCCCTGGTTAATCTACTTATATACTCACCTCGAATGTTTTTGGAACATTTTTTTCAGTCGTTTCAAGAAAAATCAAAATGTCTAAATTTCATCTTTACAACCTGATACAATTTACAATAATCACTAATACCTAATGTTTTGTTAAATCCATTATGCTTTTAAAACATTAATCACATATTTAAAAATGATATACTCTTAGATCTACAGATCTAATATATTATGCATATATATATATGCATAATATATATATATATTATTATTTAGTTAATAATATATATATATTNGCCATACTGCCCAGCAACATTAGGCATCTTCTGCCCACTCTCTACCTTTGCTATTATACTCTCACCTTTCGAAAAGAAAAACAGACGCAAAACTTAACGAGTGCCTACCCGACAGTCTCGCGAATACATAAAAGAATTGTTTTGTCAGAAAAATAAAAGGCTGGAATTACAAGAGAGAGTTTCAAAGTTCAAAGGAATACTATCTGATCGGTATATACCGGCTTGAGTGTCGACGTCTCCCATACCTCCGAAAAGTTTCGAATTGTTGCCCGAAGACAAGGGAAGACCAATCGGTATTCATTATTTTACGTCGCTTCTTCTTGTGTTTGTTCTGTGGGGTGTTCGTTATCCGATCATGTGTTCGTTGTCCAAACATAAAAATCTTTCGCGAAAGTGTTCATTATCTGATCTGTTCGTTAACCGATCACCCACTGTATTTTTGTGTGCTCTTTTTCTTGTGGGAGAGGGAGGGGGCCTAATAAGAAGAAAATGTCTAGGGCCCCAAAGTGGGTTAATCCGGCCCTGAGTGTGATTCTTGATCATTATTTTTAATTTCTGTGTTATCTTTAAATCATTTATCAACAGTAAACTTGGTTTGTCGAGAATGCCCTGTCTTCATATATCAATATTGTTAGTCTTTATGAAATATTTTTTCACTTAGTCATAAAATTATTGTCTTTCGTTGGATGCAAACATGAAATATAGGGATTTAAATTTATGAAGTAATTGGAAACCTGAATATGCACAAATTGATTTCAACATAATTAGTTAGAATTACATATAATTTAGTCTTACCCTTAACCAAAATAATTCAATCATTAACTTTTTTAAGTTTAAGAAAAATTAGAGAGATATTTGGTATTTTTTAAATTTTATCTTGTAGACCACTGTATAACCATGCAAATTATTTTACTGTCAAAATAGGACAACATAATGCCTCTAAAAAATTTTGACTTTCTTCTTAACTGAGTAATTATGGTAACGATTGATTTTTAAATTCTAGAAATAATAAATTAAAATGATTTATTTATAAATAATTTTTATTATTTAAAACTTACGAATTAATATTTAACAGCTATCCTTTCATGGAAGATGCTAGCGGTGCAAACTGTTACATGAGAACTCGTTGCCCGTCCTGGTGTGATCGCATCTTGTTTAGTAAGTCAGCAAAATCTCTTGTTAACATGGTAAATACTTTGTAACATTTTTAATATTTTATAAATCTCAATTTTCTGTTTTATTGATATTTTCTTAAATCTTAAAAAATTCTGTACTTTTGTGCTGTTTTATGGCAATTTTCTAATTTTTGTTTTTTTCCAATCAAATGACAATTTAAATTAAAAATTTGCAATTATATTAAATTATAAAAGTTTATAATGTTTAATATAATGAAATAATCTGTCTTATAACATTGGCATTATAAGGGAATTGGTTTATTTTAATTGATTCTTTTTTGAATTGCCATTCACATTTTATTATATATATATATTCACTAACACATTTAATGAATTATGATTTTCCAATTACTTAAGAAAAGTATTTTTCCTCATATTATCCAAAATCTCTTCCAATTAACATGCAAACTGAAACTCAAATGCAAAAGAAATGTTTAACTACCATATTTATGCTAATCTAAAACAAGCCTTAACTTCTACATGCTTATCCATAGTGTTGTGTATTAAAATTTAATTAGTTTTTTAAAATGTTAATTCAAATAATACAAACTTATAATTACTTCTATCTGATACAAATGACAAATTGTTTCACAACCTGTTAAGAATACTTTACAATAAAATATCGTAATTCAAATATATCAGTAAGAGGTGTATCTCTGTTCATTACAGTAATATTAATAATAATCTGAAACTTTAAATAATAATTTTTCACTGAAATCAGTGTTTTACCAAAATCATTCAATATTTAACATTCATACTTATTTGTGTTAAAATAATTTTTTCAAAAAACAAAATTCCATATCGCATTAATTTTTGTGGAGTAACCTATACATTAGTCCAATACAATTATCTTCAAAAGTTGCCAGTTGTATCCTGGCTTGTATTATGCTGCATAGAATATGTAAGACTCATGGAAAACAATACAGAATGTGCATTATTCTTCTAAAAAGTCAGCTTTAAAAATATTATTACATAGAAACAACTGAAGGATTAATGAAAAGAATAATAGAACATGAAAAAGTTAAACTAAATACAAATGTACAAACATTAAAGTAGGTTGAAACAAAAATTAAAATGGAGTACATTCATTCTTTCTAGCAAAAGTTTCAAGCTTATAAATTCTGAAGAAACATGACCGAATCAAACATACAAATTATAATATAAATTATTAATTTGTTCAATGCTTTGGCTTCGATGTTTATTTGAAAACAGATGATGATAATTATAAAAAAGACATCTTTTACTTAACAAAAGACTTAACATCTTTTGTTAAGTAAATTAACACTAAATTAAAAGTTTGACAGTTGTAAATTATACAGTTCGAAACTTCCCAAATTGAAAAAAAATTTCAATTTGGGAAGTTTCAAAGTAGGTTTATAAAATAAACTGAAAATATTTGTTATACCTTGGTGCTGGAAAATTATGTAAGGTATTTTTTCATACAAGCTATCCATTCCAGTTGTAATTTTGAACTTTATGATGATGATGATAATTATTGAAATAACCTTGAAAAATGTAACTAGAAAATCTGTAGTATACTTGATGCATAAATAGCTGGCTACTTGGTGTCTAGATGAGTCCAAGAATTCAATGGTGAGAATGAATATCTTACCAGATATAGAATGAACAATTGGTACCAAAGTAAATGACTTTAACATCATTGTTGATTTTACTAAATTGCATATACTCTGTAACATTCAACAACATGGGCTTGAGAGTTGATTGCTTAGCTCTTATTTAATGAAAAGGACTCATACAAGATCTTGTCTGAAGTAGTTCCCTCCTGAATCTATGTACCAAATTCAGCATTTTTGCCTTTGAAAAGAATGCATCCTGAAATGTTTCTTTTGGGATGATTTGCAGCTCCACTAATCAATTTTCTTTAATTTGTATCAATGGGTTCAAACCATTGATGCAAATTAAGACCAGATTTTAAAAGGGACCAGATTTTAATTTGGGAAACAAAAAGAAGTTTGCTGGGGTTTAGTCAGGTGAATTTGGAGGTCAGAGAACAAGTGGTGACTAGTCCTTAGCCTCCCTCTTATTGATAATGTTTTGTGTACAGAGCATTGACATGATGCTGTTCTCTCCAAGCAGTCTGTCTTTTCTTCCTCATTGCTTCATTGAAGGTATTTCATCACCTCCAGATGATACTCTTTATTTACTGTCTTTCCTTCTAGAAGAAATTCCTGTTGAATGGCACTATCAGAATTGAACAAAACAGTGAGCAAGACTTCCACATTTGATCAAACTTGTGCCATTTTTGGTCACTGTAAAGATTTTCCCATGCACTGTGATGACGATGTTTTGTTTCCATGTCATATTCATAGACCCATGTCTCATCTCCAGTGAGACATTTTTCATGAAGTTTTTATCAGATCTAGCCAGTCCTGGAACTCTCTACTCAATTGCACTCGCAGAAAGAGAATTGCAAAACACAATCAGCATGTATTTGTGCGAATGTACATAACATAACAATAAATGAAGATAGAACAAACTGCTTTCAGCAGATAGTACAAAAAACTTGCTGGTCTTTACCAGCAAGCTTTTGTACTAACTGTGCAAGCTGATTTACATTCAATTATTGGTTGGTGTGTAATTTAAAAAGTTAGTGAACTTTCTGGACAGACCTTTTATACGTTAAAATTGACAGTCAGTTCTAAATATTCAGTTGATGCAAAAGTTGCTGGAATTTTCTAGACCTCTATAGAATATTTGAAATTGTTCTCTAACAGATGATCTATAAGTTTGTGGGATATATAAATGAAGGAGGTTGAGGTTCACAGTCATAAGTGAAAAGACAGTGTGTGTGGTGATACCACTTTTTAAATGTCATCTCAGAGTCTACAATGTACAACTGGTTTGGTAAATTTAAAGCAGGGCAATGTAAAGTCAAAAGTAAGCCACACTCAGGCTTTTCATCCCATTGGACGATGAGCTGGTACAACCAATCCATGTCTGGCTGCACGAGAAATGACTAAGACACTCGGTCATGACTGGTCCGCCATAGTTTGTCATTGGAAAAATCTGCAAGATCAACGTTTGGGTTGACCAGCAGATGCCACTTGATCTTTGCCGGGAGGTTCTGCCTCACCCATATAGCCCAGACATTGCATCATCCAACTACCAACTTTTCTGCTCCACACAATGCTTTTTGGATGGAAAGCGGTTTGCGGATGTTGACGACAAGAAAAAATCACACTTGCAGAGTTGGTCCAAAAAACCAGTTTTATTCAGCAGGAATTAGTGTCCTGCCCAATTGAAGAAAAAGATGCTCAAATGTAATGGTTATTATTATTATTATTATTATTTTTTTTTTTTGAATAAATCATTTTTCATTTTTGAAGTAAATGTTGTACTATAAAACTGTAGTAACTTTTGCATCAACCCAAAGTTCTCTGAGTTTCATTATATAGAGAAGGAATAGCTTTCAAGATAAAAGTTCAAGTAAGACTGTAATAATAATGTGTGGAATGATGTACTGTACAGAAAATGAACTAGAGAGAACTAAAAGCAAAGTATATGTCCATTTAGGGGTTTTGGGAAAATAGCAATGGCAGATGATGCACAAAACAATTTTTCATTTTTTTTTTTATTTTATTTTAAAGGTGATTTTGGTAAGTTATGACAAAAGAGACGTTGAATAAGTTCATAATTACAGTTAAATATCTGTGTCGGTGCTTAACACACACTTGCTTTTAAATGGAATTTTAAACACAGATAACCACAGATGAAATTATGGTAACTAAAATTATTTTAAAGTATAAACATTGCAGAAATTCTAACAATGTTCTCATTTGATGGTTTAGTTTACTGCTTTTCTCATATTATAAATTTATAATGTATTACTCAGATTTGAGAAACTCGAATATTAGATTTAGTTATTAATTTAAATAAATATCGTGGGTAATCAGTTAATGAACATAATCTGTTCAAAGAGAATGTTTGCTACCCGAATTGTTCATTAACCAATTATCGATTTAGCATAGCTTTTTATGGGAATTAATGCTTGAGTCTTTTTAATTATATCTTTCTTAGCTAAGATTGTACCTACCTGTTGAAGCCATACTGCACATCATCATCATACATTTTTTGCCCACTCTCTACTTTGGCTATTATCTCTTGCTTAGTTTCTATAGTGAACAGAGTTCTTGACAATCCATTTTTTTAGGCCCCATAATAATATCAGTTTTTTTAAATAAAAAGTTTAAAAAGCACATACAAAGATTCAGAGAACAGAAATCAATTAGTGCAAAAAAGGTTATGTATACAGTTGTGAAAATCTCGTTTCATAAACCACTCATAGATGCCAATAAAATATAGTTTTACAATTCTTGAATGCAGAGTCTTTTCGTGTTTGTTCTGTGAGGTATTCATTATCCAAACATGCATTTGTTGTCCGATTTGTTTTGCAGTCTGAACTGTTCGTTAACCGATCACCCCACTGTATTTAATAATAAATTCTTGTGTTTCTTAATCCACTTTTTCAAACAATAAATTATTGCTTAAATTTTATTTTATTTCATTTTATTTATTAATAGTTTTTTTAAGCAATTAAATATTATAAAATTACAGAACCACGATGAAAATAATCAACCGCAAGTTCGGTATCAGTTAGTAGGATCGAATGTTGCCATGGGTGACCATAAAGTAAGTAAACACAGTTCTGTATGAATATAAATGAAATAGTTATTTATTTTTTCAATCTGTTTTCAATTTTAAGTTTTAAAAAATAACTGAAAGAATTACTTTTTCAAATTACAGTTAAAATTAATTTTGTTCTTTAAAAAAGTATTTAATGAGTAAATCAATCGTGTTATGCTAATATGCCAAATAATATTAGCCAGATATTAGCTGTATATGTAATGATCTAAGCAAAGTTTAATGTACCAATGCCTGGATTTACAAGAACTTGTAATTCGAGTGTGTGCAAATAAAAATTTATTTTTTCCTTCAATTAATTGTTTATAACAAAAATGCTATTTTTGTTACTAAATTTAAACTGTGACTAAGTGCATCTAATTAAAATTTAATATTAAATACTTACAAAAATGTATTTTTGAACATCTTGTTTGTTCAGATTTTTTAAGATTTCAGTTTTGTAGGTACTATGAATGTATTTGATGTTAGCATTGTGTCAATTACTCTTTTTTTCATGCAGTTAACCAAAATCAATGCCATGTGTATATACTGTTTAGTAATTTCTTTAGGTGTGTCACAATGTTTTTCTATTTTAATTTAATTTATAATAAATGAAGAAAATCAGAGATTGTATTTAATTTAATCATTACTCTAAGCATTATTTTGGAGATCTGGTTAATGAATTATTTTGCATAGTAGTATAATGTGTGTATAGACACTCAAATTGATATGAAGTTATATTATTAAATCAGTTTAGTTTCTTTGCAACTAATAGATTTATTATAATGAGAAGTAATTATTTTTAATTTTATAATTTTTTTATTTTTTCACTCAATAAAAACTTAATTTCAAATTAAAAAAATGACATTGCATGATTAAATTTGCAATAAACATGCATGTGCATTGCAACCTTCTACACTAACTATTATGAACTAACAGTTTGGCTTTTATTTCTTGTCATGCAGCCGGTGCTGTTGGACTTTGATCTGATGCATGATGCAGGTATATTTTCTCATACTTGCAGATTTTATTTCATGTTAATTTTTCTTATTTGGTGATGTTATGCATAAAAATTTATCATCTTTATTCTCAAATAAAGTTTTTTTCCCCCTACCCATTTACAAAATTACAAAATATTGTTTCTAAATAAATTGCATGTGAAATTTGCTTGTTGAAATTTTACTGTGTTGTTGTATTTATGAAACACAGAATTTATAATATATATGATGACTTCTCAATTTTTATTGATATACGGCAACTACTAAGGACTATGAGAATAGAGGTTTTAACATTTAGATTTTATAAATTATTTACAAATTAATGCCCAGAAATAAATCTATTACAGGACAGTTTATGAAATTTATTTCTCTTGATAATTCTTTTCAAACCAAAATATTTATTGTGTGCTTCTGTACAACTGTTTAAATTTTTGCTTAAAGACAAATTATACACTATATATAATTCTGAAGTCATCAGGGATGATTCATCCTGATTACCATCATTGACCAGAAAAAATCGATTTTTTGAAATTTGTAATTTAATTTAAATGGATCATATTTATAAAATAGAATATAAATTATAGTAGTATTATTGTGATGTTCCTGCGAAATGTACAGTACAGTGTACAGTACGTACATCGACAAAGGAAAGACGTATTAATAACTAAGCGACAGTATAGTCAAACAAAATATTTTATTTCGCGTATAAGAACAGGTTCTTTTGGATTCCAACTCTGCAGTAATTACAATAAGGCATCATACAATATTCCAGCAGACCGTTACAAAACGTATCGTTCGCAACGAATATAAATGATGACCCAAAACTATGACTAATTCTTATGTACTAACTTAAAGCTAGGGAAAAGGGATAGAAAATCTAGAAAAATAAAATACAGTAAAGCTTAGTTCACACTGAGCGCGATTCGCTGGCGAAAGCGAAAAACAGAGCGAATAACCCGTCAAACGAGTCATGTTTGATGAGTTATTCGCTCTGTTTTTCGCTTTTGCCAGCGAATCGCGCTCAGTGTGAACTAAGCTTAACCCGTCAAATGAGTCATGTTTGAAGTGAGGAATGAGTTATGGAGTGAAATATCCAGGTTTTTGCTGGACTTCACAATTTTGGGTGGGTACCACGTTGAACTTTTTTTGAAAAGTCTCTCGTCGTCGTCTCCGCTAGGTTCTTCTTGCACCTCGTTATTACACCTTTTTATCGTAACTACGATAAAAATCCAATTCTCAAACTCTCGAATCCTCCAGTCGTTGCCATTCGCGACCTGGACCACCACATTCTACGTCTGTCCACCACGAGGTCTGGACCCATGAATGTCTTCCTTTCCTTTATTTCATCGGTCCCAGGGCCTCTTCTTTCATTGTTCTCCGTGGTTCCAAGAATCGGTCATCCCACCCAAGGGAAAAGAGTTATATACGAGCACTTGAATAGGGATCGTCGGAGGATGATCCAATTCTCCTTTAATATGTTTATGAAATTCACACACTTGGGCACACAATATAGTCATTACCATTTTTCTTTGTGGCTGTATGCCATATTTGTATATATTAATTTAGGTATAGTTTTAGTCATCTCCTTTGTTATTTGTCTTTTCTTTCAGAACTTTCCTTGCTAACTCTTTTTCCTTGGGTGGGATGACCGATTCTTGGAACCATTCTTGGATTTATGTTGAAAGCGGCCATTACAAATGCTAGTAAAAATAACGTAATTTTAAAAAACTATTTTGTTTATTTTTAACTTTATAATACATAAAGGATTTGTTTTTGAACTGGAATTTGCCGACGAAACCTGTACAAATACATTGTACAGTACCGTAAATTGAAGGTACTGTACGTTTGTTAAACGAGTATAATGAAATACTAACGAAACCATAAAAGACAGTAATCGTGCTACATATATTTTTATTTATTTATCTTTGTGTGTGTGTGTGTGTGTGAAAGGGATTGCTTTAACCTGATTCTGATCAAACTAGAATATTTATTTTTCTATCACGAATAGGAATTTTATTTTATTTTTTTAACAGTGAAAATACTCTTCAAAGGGACGAAGTGAAAGTTTCTTCGTGTGACCCTCATCTACGCATTTACGTTAGCCGACTATCGAAGATTTACTTCGTCCTTTTGAGAGAAATAAATTTTCTTTTCAAATTTCAGCTGGAAAAGTTTATGGTAAAAGTGTAGACATATAAATTCCCACTGTCATTCGTCTGTTTCTGACTGTCTTTCCTTAATCTCGAGAATAAAGTAAGATAGATGAAAGCCGAGACCTAATGTGGAAAGCTTAGGGGCAGGATGCCCCGATATACAGAACTTCCGATGAAAACCGGAAGTCACGTTATTTGAATTCAAAGATTTTCCTCGAAAGGTGTTAGATCGACGGCCGGCATGACTCTATTGTTAAAGGAAAAGTATGAGGTACGGAGGCAAGTCAGTACTAGTTTGAGGCGGCGAGAATATATTTTAAGTTAAATAAATTAAAAATAGAAGCCTGGCATTGTGACGTTATCACGATACATTATTTTTCGTTTATGTTTGTATTTTGGACCAGATTCGAGAGTCGGAATCTAAGTTAACTAATTGCCAATTATTTTACTTCAGAGAGAGGTGGATGGTCAACTCCCTATACTTGTTACGTTAAAGAATTAATACTACAATACGACACGTCGTCGTCGGTGTTTTAATGTATATTGCGATATCGAAATAAAAGATACGCTTGGAGAAAATATTAAAGAAAAACAGACTACAATTACAGTAAGACCCTCGTTTAACGCTGATTCGATATAACGCGGTCTGCCCGAAGCCTAAAAAAACTCAAAATTTACGCCGATTTAAATTATCGCGGCATTTCATTGGTTCGTGTTCGTAAATAATCGTATTATATAAGAATCAATCAGAAAAAGGTGGCAAAAAGGTGTACTTTCTTTAAATCTGTTTGTTTGGTGCAATTTTGGAAAAAATATAACATCACGGATGCCATAGGAAATATCGACTTCGCTTGCAAGAATTAACTGATAAATGCGCGAACGAAGTGCCGAAGAAGTTACGGCCGAAGGTATTCCAAAATTCTCAACGAGAAGAGCCTATCGCCGTATCGTTAGGCCGACCGAATTGTCAACCTAATCGATACAGCGGGACTAGGAGATGTAGACGAGAGGAATATTAAGGAATTACCACAGGTTTCTGGCGAGAGCCTTACCAACGACGACCTTCGAGAATTGGCAGAACATGGAATTCGTGTGGAACTGGAAAATAGAGATTCTAAAAACGAAGAACCCAAAAAATTTCTCTACAGATTTCCTTAGTAAAAGTTTGGTAACGATAACGAAATCGTCGATCAAATTGTAGCGAATGATCCAGATTTTGAGAATGCAAAATCAAACCGAGGCGTTTTGGCTGCGATCTTCCGCTACCGACATTTGTTTAATTAAGGAAAGAAAAAAGCGACAAATGAAACTTCACGACTCTATTGCAAAAAAAAGAAAACAAGAATTTCAGAAATGTCAGGACCTTCGTCACAAAAAATGAACTTTACATTTGTGTGCATAAGTTTGTGTGTTATTTGACATATATTAGTGGGCAAATTAATATAAAAATAACTTAAAATTAAAGTAAAATTTGTTTGTTTTTGGTCGCGTGTTCCCCCATCCCTATTTACTCTGTTAAAATGATCTCATTTAACGCCGTATTAACGGCGTTATCATTAACGGTCGTATCTCATTTAACGCTCTGTTAAAACGATCTCATTTAACGTTTAGCGCTTTGTCGTCTAGGAAATCATCCCCCGCGTTTATGTATGTAGCCAATTCTTATATTTTATACTTTAAATAAATAATATATATGTATGTATATATATATATATATATATTATTTATTTAAAGTACAAAAATTGAAACAACAAGTATTTAATATTTAACGAGTAATTGGAACGTTGCAGGGCTGCAATTTTTAATCACATATTTAATTTAATTAATTTAAAATACATGCTCTCCACATCAAATTAGTAGCGACTTGCCCTGGTACATCATCATAGTCGTCTAACTCCTTTTGGAAGAAAATTTTTGAATTGAAATAACGTGGCTTTCCGGTTTGCATCTGAGTTCGTATGTGGTTAATCTGGGCCTCCTGTCCCTAAGGTTTCCGTATGTGGTCTCTGCTTTCATCTATCTAACTCCGTTCTGGTGATTTCGGAAAGACACACAAACCCACGACGGTGGGAATTTTTAGGTCTACAACTTTTTCAAATTGCAGCCCAATAACGTGGAATTTCGTGTATATAGAAGGATAACGAGTGAAATCTTTGTTCTATTTTGTCAGAAAAGCCGTATATTAGTTACTGTACTATAAAATTTCCCTCACACTTTGAGTCTCTACTTCTTAGTCACGTTAAGAAATTTTAAATATATTTTATTCATAACATAATATATAATATATATTGTATTATTTATAACTTTTAGAAGATTTTAAAACTTTTTTCGGTGTTAGAGAAGACGAAATAAAGAATGTTTTAAGTTAAAATTCAGAAAAGTGTCGGTAATTATTTGTTTCTTAAACTTAATATTTCATTTATTTCGTCGTCTTTCACGCCAAAAGACGACAGATATTTTACCGATGTCGAATTATTTCGGGTAAGTTTTGGTTTGTCTAAAAAACCTAGTGTAAAAATATTTAAATTAACGAATTAGAATAGGCATATAATATATTTTTGTATTTTTATTTTACGTAGAAAATATTTAACATCTGAATTTCTCTTTGTTTTTTTTTGTAGCCAGTCCTATTATGGTTTAGACTCCTGCCCGCAACAGGTACGCTTAATCCTCTACTCCTACCGACAATTGTTATATGCCCCGCACCGGAAATATGGACCAGCAACTACAAACGGTCGGGCTATAGGAATTATTGCAGTTTGCCCATTTCCGGTAACGATAAGCAAAAGAGAAGAAGCGTAACCGAAAACTGGATAACGAACAGTCCTCAGTTAGATAGGGTGTCGATAGATAGCGCTCCTCTGCGCAACCAACTGCACGTGGGTTCGCAGTCTAGTCGTTTCAATAGCCATCACTCCTCCTCCTCCGAAGAATGGTACGCCGAGATGGGCGCCAATTTCCTCAGAAACGGACATTCCGCCACCTGCGCTAACGGCGACGACACTCCGTCGCGCGATGGCAAAACCCAAGTGGGAAGGTCGACGGTTTACGATCCCTTCGGTAGAACGGAGAAGGGCGAAGCCGCCCCGGACAACAGAGACAATCGCTTCGACGGTGCCGTTTTGTCCGCCGACGGCAAGCGCCGTCTGTCTGTCCGCAGCGACGTTTCTTACCTCCGTTCCAGTCGGGAACTAAAACGGAGTTGTTGCCCTTCCAACTGCATTATCGTTTGATGCATGTAAATTGCATGTAGTAAGTTCTCTTCCTTTTGTTTTATATTTTGATTTAATTTTAACCTTTTTGTCTGTTTTATTATTATGTTTTGTTATTATTTAAATTACCGTTTGTTTCTTTATTTGCACGTTTTTGTTTTAAATTGGCCTGCAGAGTTTGCAATTGTTTTATAATTATTAAAACTTTCGTTTCTAGGCCTGCGCTGGACTAACGCACTTAAATTGTCCGCCGAAAATTTTATTTATTTCTAACCGTAATTCTAATTCGTCCTGTGTTTTTAAATAATTATGTTTTTAGTACGTACGAATTTTCTCGTTTGCCACCCTTTATTTACCGTAAATTATTTCTTTATTTAGAGAAACTCCCATTGTTTTTAAGAAACTTATAAGCCGAACTTTTTTTGGCACTTGAAGTTTCGTATCAAATATATTAAAAGGCCCGGGCTCGTAGTGGGGGGTTTCCGAGTGGCGGCCATCCAGAAAATTCGACGAAATCCAGAAAAGTGTCGATGGTTAATTGCCAGGCGGATTCCAGTGTTTTTTACGGCGACGGTTAAATTTCCACGGAGTTTAATCTTTTCGAAAAGCGTTTCGTCCACGCGCTTCCGCGTAATTTTCCGACCGGACGGCGGAAGAAAAGGTTTATCGGGCAAAACGGGAGGAGGAAGAAGAGAAACGGAAGTAAAGGAATTAATGGGAGATTTTTCTTGTTTTTTTCAGAAGTTGCCCACCGCCATTTTTCATCCGCATCATCGCCCCATCTACTCTCGTGCGACAGCTTAAATCTGACGCTTCCTCGAATCAGTCTGACGGTTCCGACCAGTCCGGACTCCGCCACCTTCACCAGATACATTCACGTCAAGTATCCCGGTTCTCCCGTTCGCATATTCCGCGAGACGACGGTGTAGCGACCTTTCGGGTTCGTCGTCCAAGTGGTCATTTCCCCACGATTGTTCGAAAAAACCCCGGCAGAGCCCCGTTTCCGTCGGAGGGCCGACGCCCCCTGCCGGTCTCTTTGTATAATTATACATAAGAAACAGTATTTCGTTCCCGTTTCCGCTTCCGGAAATCAGGGAAACTTCCTTCGTCGCCTCTAGTATTATTCGGTGTCCTCCGTGCCATAATAATAATAATAATAATAATATGCCAAAAATTATCGTTCGATAATTATCTGCAGCATTATGTAAGTAGCGGACCGGGGAAGAAAACCGTCGGTAAATAGGTCGGCCGGGTGGGAAAGATTTTCCAACGGGCCCGGTCCCGTAGAAATTAGACCGGTGATCCGGTCCGAGGAAAAAGCGGAAGTAATTAGGGAAAAAACCCTAATGGGACCGAGGAGCGAAGGAAATTCGGGTGCGCGACTAGTCAGATTTCGGCCGGAGCCAAACCAACCCCGGGTTTCTGGTAAACTTCTTTACGCCCGACGAAAACGGCGTAAACTTCCGCCATTTCGGATTTAAAAGGCACGTTCGTTTCCGGTCTTTCTAAATTCGGAACGGGTAGAAAGGAAATTGTCCGGGAAAGCCGAAGTACCGTTAAATGCGCGGTAGAAAAACAGGTCCGTGTGAAAATTAGGCAGATTTTAAATCCTAGTCCGATGGTACCCCTCCCTCCCTCTACGCTTTGGCACCCGGTCCGAAATAATTCCGTACCCGAGTTCGGAAATAGAAAAACGATTTAAAGTATTTTAATTTAAAGGAAATTCCTATTTATTGGGAAGTAGAGCGGCTTTAAGGTAAAGTTGGCAGAAATCCTTTTTTCGTTCGTCGATTTAATCCTAGCGAGTTGTGAAAACATAACGAGAATACAGGCGGGGCCTTACTTTGCCCTTCCGCCGATCGTTCCTACCGGTTTGGTGCCCCAATCAAAAACCGTAGCTGGTAAAACCAAGTTATTATAGCTTAAAGTTTAAAGATTTTAATAATAATAATAATAATAATATATGTATGTATACATATATAAACCGCGTTAAAGAATCGTTGGCCGCATATTTATTGTTTTAAAAAATAATTTTTCTATTGTATCCTCGTTCCATTTTACGAGTGTTATGAAATTTCAAAGTGTTTATTCCCCCATTCGTCGTATCCGATGTACGAAATGCCGAATATTTCCACGTATCGTTACGTTCTCCGTCGTCCTAATAAAAAAAAATGGCGCGGAGGCAGATTACTCGACCCCGTCCGAATCTACGAAAATTTACTCTCTGATAAGAAATTCCTTAAATAATTACGACCTTTACGTCGTCGGTCTGTGGGAGGCGGAGAGGAGTAACGGATGGGTAATTCCCATTCGTAGTTTCGACTTTACTATTAAAACGGGTGGAGTGGGAAATTTTTACGTAATAATCGAAAAAATGGCGTTTGGCCGAGACCGGGTGACGTAAATATCTTCCGGTAATCCGAAAGGGGTTGGAGAAACGACTGCCAAACTTTCGGTTTTAGTATTTGGAGCGGAGAGAATTTCCGCGGAATTGGAAAAGTCAAACGTAACGGGTGAAATATGGTAAGGATTTTGCGCCGCGAGTGGTGGTACGTAACGGATAAGATTTAAGATTTCCTCACTACTTACGTTAAATTTAAAAGTCCGGATTCGGAATCCGTAAATTTCCGTCTGGGGGCGTCGGAGTAAAAGGAAAAACGGAAAAGAAACGGAACGGAACGGACTTACATCATGCTGCTGCCGTTATCGCTTTCCCTCCCCGCCTATTCGTATCTTTGAAATTTATAAGTGTGTTTCTGTCGTCGTGTCGTCGTTTATCCAACTGTACAGATCGTGTTTATAATTATGTAAATAGCGTCGGATACGCATTACTTAATCGGTAGTTTCCGCCGTGCCCGTGCCATATTTCGGTTTCTTTTAATATTTTTTATTTATATTTTTTTTGCCCTTCGTTTCGTCGTCACTCTTCCGTTCTCCTCCGGAAACGGAATTATTTTTGGTTTTATTCCGCGTGGTAACCCGTGTAAATATCGTTTGACACCGGTCCCTTTTAGTCCTTCGGATGCGACCGACGACCTAAAATGCGACCTTTTCCAATTTCCATCCCTCCTCCCTTCAGCCGCCGTCGGATTTTGGGCCGTCGGTACAAGTTTCGGTATATTTGGTTTGGCCTTTCTTTCCCGGAAGTTTGCGTGGAATCGTCTGTTCCGTTTCACCCTTTAAATCGGAGTTCAAACGCAATATCTAGTTGTTGTCGGTGAGAAATTCGGCCTAAGTGCTTTTGTAAACATTTATACATAACTGTGCCAAGTTGCAAAATGACTGTGATCTATCTTCCTCCCGTGTGGCATGCACTATATTTATCCGTATTACCGTATACGTGTGAATTATTCTTATTGTGGAAAAAGTTAGAGTTTTGCATTCTTAGAGGAAATTGCTGTTTTAGAGATTGTAAATATTCGATTATCTAGTCCCTATTTTATAATGTTACCGAATCGAGCAGCTGTAGAATAATATATTTAATCGTGTGTTAACGACGAAACACAAGTAATTACGTAAGAAAATAGATAGCTTGGTGACTATATGTAGCATTCGCAGTTGTTGATCTGTACTTATGTTCCAGAAATATGTAAAAATAAAAATTTAATGAAGCACGTTAATTTTTCACCGTTTTACAGACGCACTTGGATATTTCAATTACCTTTATTGAAGATTGCGTAATTAACAGTATAAAAACCAGTTCCCGCGCCGACAGCGGACTTTGGCACGAATTGTTGTGGCCGCGAGGCGAAGTTTTAGGGTTTTGCGCCCGGTCGGCGATGCCTCCGGACCCTTTTTGTGCATTTGAAGGTTGACATAAAAGTCGAGGCGGGCGCATTAAAAAATCACAGAGGCACAACCGCGTAGACCGTTCCTAGTTTACGGTGTTTTGTATCACAGATATTGGCGTTTTTTGGCCCAGTCCGCCTCGGACGTCAACAGTGGGACTCGCCGTTGGCCAGCGATTTGGCGTCCCTGCCTTCCAGTTCCAGTTCCAGACTGAGTTGTTCCACTTCGCTCTCCAGAGTCTTGTTCCTTTTGTACATCTGAATGTAATTGAGCTGGAGCAGTTTCTGGTAGCGGATGACTTTCTCCTTCTCCTCCATCCACTGAATCCTCTCCATTTCGATGTTCTCCCGCGCCAGTTCGTACTCCCTGCCCACGGTGGCCAGCTCGTTTCGCAGCCTGTCCACCTCCTGTTTCATCTGGCCCACGGCGCCGCACCTCCCCTCTCTGTCCAACTGGATCTCGCGACTCTGCAGCTGAAAGTTCTGCAAGGCCTGCTCCAGCTGTTGCTGGGCCTGGAGGAGTCTCTCCTCCAGTTCCGCCTCCCGCTTCTCCTTCTCCTCCAGCAACTGTCTCGTCTCCCTCAGCTGGGACTTCAGCGTCAGCATTTCCGCCACGCGAGACGTCTGGTCGCCCTGAGAATCCTTTAGTTGCGACTTCAACAGCGACACTTCACCCGTTTTTTGACACAGAGACCATTCCGTCTCCTCCAACTGCGCCTTGACAATAGCCAGTTCCTGTCGTAGTCTTTCTATCTGCTCCCCCGACGCCTCCTTTTCCTTCTTGCTCTCGTCCAGTTCCACTTGAAGTTTCCTCTTCTCTTGCTGAATCTGAAATTCCAAAGATATTGTCTTTAATAAAAATAATATTTAGCAACGAGTCGCGCAACTTTCCCGGTGTTACGAGATGTTGCTTAAAAAATAACTTTTATATTATTAGCGTCATTTATTTATTACGGCTATCGTTACCGGATTTTGAAAGTACCGGATAACATTTAAAATTTTGGTGGCGTCATCTGTTAAAATCGTTGTAATTGTATCTATTATAAATGGCAAAAGCCTTGATTTTGAAAGTAGGGATTGGGTTTTATAAAAAAACACACTGTAAATGGTGGTAAGGGATAAAACCGTCATTACGTCCGACCCTAATGGAGATACACACGTCCCTCATTATCTGCCCACTCCCGCGACCTTTAACCACTAAAAATTTAATAGTTTCAACCCCTAATGCGGAAACTTTCCTGTAAAATTTCAGAAATTTTCGACAAAAAGCACGGGAGTATTAATCTTCAAATGGTGAACGAAATCGTGCCAAAACACACCCAAACATACATACAGAATTTTGCATTTCTCGACGTTTCAACACGTCCCAAGTGCTAAAACGTAAAAATCTGGGGTCATTTTTGCCGGATTGACCATACTTTCCCTCTTGCAATTTTTTACTTTGCCGTCTATTATAAATGTTAAGTCCGATCCGACTCGAGACACGACAAGTTACCCACCCTCTCTTTCACCCTCCGACCCCTCGACCTTTCACCACCAAAATTTAGTAGCACCGATGCCTCTTATACGCAAGCTACCGCGCCAAATTTTGTTTGTTAATTTTTATCCCATCCCGAAATATTAAACGAAAAAGACTGTCCCAAACGGAATTTTTCGTTTAGTGTCGAAAACGTGTTTTGAGTAAAACTTAGCACCATTCCAACACTTTCACTCGTTATAAGCGACAACGTGAAAAGTAAAACGAGACAAAACATCGATTTGATCATTACTTTTACTTTCCTGGCTGTTACGTATACGTAACGAGAAAGTATTTAAATGGTATCAAATTTGACCCCCGGGTTTTTTGCAAATCTCCGTTTCGAAACAATAATAAATAAACGGGACGAAGAAAGGAAATTTGGCACGAAGGGCATCGATGCTATTAGATTTCAGTTCCGAAAGGTGCGATACACGAGATGGGTCGGACTTAATATAACCAGTAAAATCGTTAATTTGTCATTTACAACTTTTCCTGAAATTCGTTCCCGCCCTGAAAATAACCATTTTGTAATAATTAAAAAGATATACTTGATTCTATGAAAACTTTGTTATTTAAAAAATAACTTAACAGCGGGAAAGTTACGAAACTCGTTGCTACACTACTATTAACTCCGCGCACCCCGAAGAAAAAGTCAAACACTAAAATTTTCCTAATTAAAATTTATTTATATTTTGTCGCTCCTTCGATTCCTATATTACTAAGGAATTAGGGGTGACGTAAGAGAAAATTTAATCGAATTAGCCGTCCGATATTGGGAACCGTCCAAATTAAATAAAAGTTTTAGAACCCCGCCACCCACTAAAACGGCGTTATACGCGGAGGCCGAGACACCCGTAAGTTCGAGGTCAGAAAATGGCGGATTAAACCCGACAAAAGGAAAGGCCAGAAATTTAACATTATTGCCACGGATACGAAATAGATACAAACACACGCCGGGTATTAAGTTCTAGCATATTTGACAAAGCCCTGAACATTTTAATGGGGCGTACACTTTTCGTCTAAATCGTGTAAAAATTGTTTGCTTATTAAGTTATGGCAACGCGACAGTCGGGCGATTTGCCTAGGGGTAATGCCTCCCGTCGGATCTTTTTAAGGGTAAGTGGTCCCGGTGTTCGGGAACCGCTAACAACAAAAATTGACTTTTTGTTGTTAACTGTCTCGGTGTCAATAATAATAAACATCCAGGTTAGAAATTTTATAAATTTCCGGACGATCCGATAACGAGAAGTAAAGATAAGAACTGGAAAGAAAATCGGTCGATACGCTGGAATCTGTAGCAGACAAAACTAAAAGGACGGTTACATTTGTAGAGTATTATCGGCTGTAAATTATTCAAAATTAAATGTACTCGCAACGAACAATCGAATGAAAGGGATTTCGTATCACCAGCAACAAAATCTTCGATGGGGTAAAAGTTGTGAAAAGAGAAGCCAAACAACGAATGGGTCGATGACAAAATAATTGAATTCGGACCTTTAATCGGTGGAAGTAAATTGGATATTTCGACCAGTTAAAAAAAAGTATTAGAATGGCCTTCTAGAAGTCCGACAGAAAATTTATGGAGCCTAATAACAAAAATAGTTTATAGTCATCGAGTGAAGCGGTTAAAATTAGCAATTACGGATGCCGGAGAAAACAATTGCAAAATTCGATTCGAACATACCCGGTGGAGTACCAATTAAATTTTAAATGATAGGAATTTTGCCAAAAATATGCCCTTATAATTATGTTACATTTAAAACTCTTTTTTTATTATTTTTTTTAGCTTTTTTTCCTTTTTCTGCTACTTTTGCCTCTTTTACGTCTTTTAATTATGCGTTTTCCTTGTTTTTCTTGGGTTTCCTGCTTTTCGTCAGTTCCGTACTTTATGTGTATGTTGCGTGCTCGCTCGGGCCGTGAGTGGCTTTATTTCGCTCGTTCCTCCTTCCTTCCGGTCCGTCCGTCGAACGTTTCTCTATTTTTTGGGGGGGGGGGAGGAGTTATTGTTGTTGTTGTCCGGGTGGTGGGGGTTGTTAGGGGGTTTTTTTTCGTGGTTGGTGGCTTCTTCGGGGTGTTTTGTTGGGGCCGGATTGGGGGAAATTTCCATTCCCGTTGGTTGTTGGCCAAGGGGTTGGCTTTTTTCCAACCGGTTCGGCCGGGCTTTCCCTTCCGGGTTGGCCCCCCGTTGGCGGGGGGTTTCCTTTCCCGGACCCTTGGGGTTGGGTTGTTGGTTTGGGGCTTGGCCCGTTGCGTTTTTCGGGTTTTTTTCCCGTTTTTTACGGCCTGATTGGGGCCAGCTACCCTTAAAACGACCTCCCGGAAGGCATTGCCCCTAGGCAGATCGCCCGAGTGTTGCGTTGCCTTAACTTACTGAACTTAAACCCCCCCGGCGGGAAAAGGCGGGGGGGGGGGGGGCCAATTCGAATTTGTTCTTGGGAAGGGGGGAAAAATGGCTCACCTGATAATTTTGAACGCTGACCATCTGCTCGGCCTTGGCCATTCTCTGCTGGCAGGCTCTCAGCTTGTTCTCGTACACCGCCTTGAGTCTCTTGAGTTCCCTCTGCCAACTCTGCTCCTTCTCCTCGTACACCTTGAATATCACCTGCTCGTTCTGCTCCAGGGTCTCTCGCAGGTAAGAGATTTCAGAATCCTTCTCTCTCAGCATAGCCTCCAGCTCGGCGATGCCGCTGTCGCTGGGCGACGGCGTCTGGGTGAAGTCGTCCAGTTGAAAGCCGGAACCCCCGCCCGTCACCTGGCCTTGGAACAGGTCCGAGATCTTGATGCAACTGTCCACCGAGTACGTCAGCGACCGGTGGTCGTCCTCCAGGGGGTACGACACGCTGCTGTAGGGGCTGGGCTGGGCCGAAGAACCCATCCTGGGCGCCGGAGTGGCGTAGCGCACCGACGGAGTGGACACCACCGGCTTGAAGGCCACCGGACGAACCACCGACCTGTCCTGAAATGGGCAATCGGGCCGTTAGTTTGGCGGTAGAGGAGGGTTATCGATCATTGTAAACCCCTTGGGATCCAAGGGCGTCGATTAAAAGGCCAAGTCCTCCTTTTACTATGGAAAAGTATAGGAAAATTTGGCGTTTTGGGCGTTGGCTCGAGTGGAAAGAAGTATTCTCACCTTGGAGCCCAAGACGCCGCTGATGGGCGCCAGTTTAGGCGGTCCCTGGCTGTCGCCGATGTCCTCGTAGATGTGAGACTCGTCGCTGCTGTCGCTGGTCCTGTTGCCGTGGTTGCAGCCGCGCATGCTCCCGGTTCCGCTGGAAATGGGCGAATCTCGATTGGTGGTGGGCAGGCAATCGTCACCGCTCTGTGCTTCTGGCGTTGCGTTGGTCGACATACTGCTCGTCCACCTACATCACTGCAAAAGCAAAAGTCACACTTACTACGGAGATGATGGTGTGACGCGTCGCCCCGAATATAAATAGACGCGGAGTGTTAGTCATTGTTTACAATTCGTCTAGGCCGCGGCATGACGGTACGTGTCGTTAGGTTTATGACACTTTAACCCACCGTTAATGTGTATTGTCGCGTACGCTTCGATGCGTATACGATTGTACAGTGAATTCGAAAATTCATCTGTCGTTAACAAGGACGGTCAACGCGTTGTTTTTTGTCGAAATTTTCTCGTTTACGTAATAACGGAGTGATCTTTTAAAATGCCAAAAACCGGAATGGCGGGTCCAAACTAAGTAACAAGAAATTTATAACAACTTATCAATAAAATGAATGTTACAACTTTATCTTTAAACTCGTTTAAGTTTCGGTTAATTTTATTAGTTTAAGGTGTGTTCTGTGAGCATTTTATAGTAACAAAGTTACAATTTATTCTTATACTGGAAATATGCCTTAAAATATAGAAACGAAAACAACATTTCCAAGTTCGTTTTAACGACGACCGTAAATAACACTAGTCGGAGACGTCACACTTTCTCCCACTCCCTGCACTTTACATTCGAAGAAGACGGCAAGTGCATTTACGTGTATTCTTTCTCTACGCGTAAATGCAGCCAATGAAACGTACCGACACATTTTTCGAACAATGGACCTCTACGGAAAACTCATTCGAGTCTCGTCACTCGCTACCCACTCCCGGGTTATACACAACTATTACAACTACATTTACTAGTCAGAAGCCCGGTTATAACGAGGGTCGCTCTTCGTTTTTTAAACATCCGTTACCGACCGACTAATTTACTCGAATTAACGACGTTCAAACGGAAGTAATTAAAAAACCGGAACGTCGTTAAGAAGGCGTAAGTAAAAGTCGAGTGCCGTACGCTTCCTTCCCGAATGAAGAGGAGGAAGGTAATTGAACGCAACGATTTCTAACAATGGAAGTCCACTTCCGTCAACGATAAGGCGTTTTGTCAGTCAGTCACGATACCGTCGTCCCTCTGTCCAATCTGGCGGGAGATAAATTCGGCCCTTATATTGCAAAATTTGAATCGGTGCCGTCGACCTTGGCCCTCCTTCGCACGAGATTAATGACTGTTCCGGCGGCACGAACCCTGGACTTCGTGACAGTATTAAAGTCTCAATTAACGACTGCGCGGAGCTTGACAATAGTAAACGCCGCCCGTTTTTCCGGAGTCGAAAACGTCGTTAATAACGTAAGCGACTTCCACCCCCGGAGAGAGTCGTAACTTCCGGTCGTGACGCGTAATTAGCCCAATTCGCTCCGCGTGCCGTCGCATACGGATCCGAGTTTCTCGACCTTTTGGGGAATACCGAGATTCTCTAACCCGACGGACTCCCCGTATTTTACGCGTAGAGAAGAAACTGTGTAAACACTACGTTAGAGATACGAAGACACGGGTCGCAACAATAATGCGCTTCGCAGTTTAATGTCTGGTGGGCTATTGTCGTCCTTCCGGGTGTTCGTGTACAACGTTCGACACGAAAAACGCCGCGTTGCAACGCCGATCTGGGTAATACGCGAGCGGCATCACGCCGATGTTGGGAGGGAATACGCCAAGTTTTCCAGCCACTTGGACGCGAATGCGCATTGTTTTTAATGGTGTCTTTGAACTTTGGCTGTCTTTTGTTAACTCTGCCCTTTTACGTATGACGCAACGACCGAAAATTCGAAGACAACACTTTTGTAACTTTACATAATACGAGGAGACCCCTTACGGTTGGGGTTGGCTTTCGAATTAGTTCGGGCCCGAGCGGATATTTTTGTAAATTAGTTGGAATCACGACGGAGCCTCTTCTATTGGTAGAAGCGGTGACACGCGTTTAAAAGAAAAGGACAGACGATGAGAAATATCCTGTTTCCTATTATAGAATTGAATATTTTCCTTTAAAAATGGACAATTTTCTTTTTAAAAAGATTATTTTCGCATTAAAATCAATTTGCCTGGTTCAATTCCACTTTAAGTGTTCGAGCCGAGTAATCAATTGGGTTATCTACAAAACGCCACGTCCCATTGTTTCCAGCAGACACTTGGCAAAAAATTAAATACCAATTAATTGTGCGCTTAAAATGGCATTTAAATTATTTAAATCTTCCCATTCCTCCCCCCTATTTTCTCGGCCGTACAAAGAGAAAGCGTGGCCGTGGGACAAAAATGGCCCACGAGATTTTACATTTTTGGACTGGGGACCGTAAAGCGTAATAACTCCCGCGCTTTCTGTCGAAAATTTCTGAAATTTTTCGGGAAAGTTTGTTCATTAGGGGGGTCGATGCTATTAAATTTTGCCGGTTACAGGTCGAAGGGATTGGAAGATAAAGGGTGTCGAGTGGCCCATCTCGAACGAGTCGGACTTAAGATTTTATTCGTTATCATCATTTATAAAACCCGTCGCTTTTTATAAATAACCCATGATAAAACCCATCGCAAATTTTATAATAATTAGTAATATAAAAAGTTTTTAAATAAAATATGACAGATTTTTAACTTTCGCGTCGGGAGAGTTACCGAAACGTGACTAGATTCGCCGGTGTACTCCGCACGTTGCAATAAAATAATGTAAAAAAATTGTTAAAATCGTCGAACCGAAATAACATACTGTATGGCCCAAAATTCGATTAACGCAGTTAACCCAAAAGCAAATAAGGAGCCACCCCGCATCTTAGAACCTGGGTTCAAACGTTAACGAACTTTAAACAAATAAAAAGTTATTTATAAACATCGTAACAGATAATAAATGGGGTTCCGCAAGAAAGGCTTTTACGTCCTTTTCCTTAATAAACAAATAAATACGAACAAAGTCGACTGACTATAATCAAACAATACGCCGAGTTTATGCAAATTTCGCTGTAAACAGAACGTTTTTATCCAGACAGAAGGAAACAATAGATTACATTTTTGCAATTGTTCAATATAAAAGTATTGATTATTATTAATTGTGCTACTATAAATTTAAAAATCTAAACACCCACTCTACACAAACGTAAATACAGCGTGGCCAAAAGTCGGTTAACAATGGCAAACGCACTAAACTCTGTTTAATTTGCTAAGGCGTGTAATATAAAGTCTTTAAATGGGGGCAATCTTTATGCGGTTAACCGATTTTCGGACCACCCTTACACGCAAATATTACGAGTCGGGTGTATATTTTCACGTTAAATAAATAAGAAAAGTTGAAAAACGAGTAAATTTCTGCCGTTCGTACGGAGGAAGAGGAAAGAGTTTTGGCCCGTTTGGCACACTTACGCCGAGAAACGGAACTCGTATTATAAATTACATCGATTCGATCGAGCGTAACGTAAATCGAAAAATAATGTCATCCCATACAAAGCGCATAGAAGAAACTTGTTTAAAAAAAGGTACAGAAATGGAAATTATATTGTATTTTAATTAGTTTTACACTCGGCGTTAACAATGGTAATTATATAGGACCAGCTTTATTGTATCTTCTGCACGGGATATCGATCGTAACTCGAAACCCGTATCATACGGCGCAAGTAACAACACGGTAGTTATTCTAAGCGCATGATGATACGCTGCGCGCTTATATTACGAAGGATACACTGTAGGTGCGTAACGATGTTTTGTGTACTTTGCCCAACTATTATACGGAATGATTTAAAGTATACCTAAAATATTCCTACGTTTAAATCGTGCCTGCGAGCGCAATGTGTTCTTTCTACGTCGCGGAGAAGAGCTTTTGGCAATAAAGATAGTTCGAACAGTCATCGATGGGGAAAAAATGGCGCCGCGAGTATCGCTTTTTTTCCCGTACGGCAACCGAGTACAGTAATACCTCGACTTACGCTACTCCGACTTACGCGATTTTCAAATCTCGCCGATTCGTCTTTTGTTTGAGCGCCACGCAACTCTCGATTACTCACTCCCCTCACACTATTGCTCAGCTTACATGTTCGGACGTGTTGCGCGGAATCCACACATAAATAACACAAAATAAATTGTAGCTATTTCTGTGTTTGTTATATCTACGGAGACTCGGGAGACTTGTCCTATGACATCCAAACGAAGTAGAACTAATTCTTCCGCATCAGACAAGAAAAGATAAACTTTATCTTTGGAATGTAAAGTTAACATTAAAGACTTGGATACAAAAATAAAAATGTGAATTGGCAAAGAAGTTTGATCTACCAGAATCGACATTCAGAACAATTATAAAAGGCAAAGAAAAAATTCTCCAAGCTGCGAAAAATGCTCAATCTTTAAATTCGAGCATCATTCGTAAACGTCACGGTATTATCGCTGAGATGGAAACGATGTTAAAATTATGGTGTGATAATCAAGTAATTGTGAAAAATTGTATAATAATTAGTGTTGTAACGAATAGTATATTCGGCCAGGAGCGTGGCCGAATAGCCGAATATGGAAGTATGTGATAAATGATGACATCAAATGACCTACACGTGTAAATAACGGAAAAAGAACAGAGAAGGACCGCGAAGTGAAAATATGAAAATAAATATGAAATTGAGTCGATAACATAATCGAACGAGTCGAGGCAGCTTATTGGCACGAAATTCGCGCCCGTCAATGCCAAACAATTGTTGTCATAGACTTCGGAAAGCTAAATGCTCGTAATGAAAGTCACTTAGCGTGCACGGGCGAAAGCCTGGAGCCGTTCGGGCTACCAAGCTGTCTCGAATATCTGAAATCATAACTGTGACATATACCGATGTCCTATCTGTCTTTTCTACGTTATCACCAGGCTATGAGTCACGTAATTGTGAAATGGAAAATCTACGTCGGAAAAGTGACGAATCGAAGTATCGTATTATGATGTATGCACAGGCATACGTAGACTAGAGCGATAGAGGAAAGAGAAAGGGAAGAGCAAAGACGAGCGCTTAAAAAGAAGGATAGGCAGGGTCAGACCCTCAGATGTGTGAGGATTCTCCAACGATAGACGTGTACGTGTGCTGATCTTTGT